GATTGTAGGAAGAAACTTCCATGAATTCGTTATCTTCACAGTTGAACGATGAATACCTCGCTGTTTAAAGAACTTGTTTGCATATACACCGTTTTGAAAGCGATTATTGCAGTCCTGTTGATCCAGCGATAGAGTTCAACCCCATACCTCCGGTCAGGCTTTACTGTTGGCGCCATCACTTGCCTAGCTCAAATAGCATTAGATTTCCTGGAGAAACGGTGCGATTGAAAAGAACGTTTTGAAAACTGTAAGGAACCTGTAGAAGCAGAGTTTGATTGACTCCGTGACATTCAAACATACCCAACCAGTCAGAACGGTTACACCGAGACCATCTAGTTTACCAAAAGTTCACAAAGAAGGATGGCGACGACACCAGATTCTTGATGTGTGCACTTCTCCATAACATTCAGTGGCGCAGTGGCTAACATATTTACTAGAACTCATGCGGAAAAACATCGTAGTGCAATTATTAAGAGATTAGTTCAAACTCGTCGGTCCCATTCGATCGCCGATTATGGAAACAAAGTACTTTCCCTTGAAGTATGCTCCCTGTTCACAAACGTATCTTCTGTATGCTTCGTTGACTACCTCTGTGACAGTGTTCGTTTTCAAAATTTAAATATGACCTTATCCGATGACACATTCAGGCAGTTGGTATTAACTTGCACACAGAATATACACTTTCAGGCTGTTGCTGAAAGATGTCGTCAGAATGATGACGCTGCGACAGGGTCACGGTTATTCCAACTGTTGACATATATCTTCGTGGCAGTGTTAGAAGGAATTAAACCTCATATGATTACTGAGCAAAGCACTTTCTACAAGAGGTAAGTGGACGGTATCGTCTGTGTAGCTGATAAAACTTGAGATCTAAACGGCCTAGCTGCTGAGGCAAACACGGCTCATCTCAATCTCATTCCTACACTTGCAACGAATAAATACGAGAAAATATCTTTCCTGCATAGGTAGTGAATCTTCGTGTAGGAGGTATTCATAGAAAGGGGACATGGAACTAGCAGTATATTTATTTTTCCAGTTATGTACATATGAAGAAAAAGAAACGTCGTTCATAATTTGACGCGCAGAGCTATATAGACTTGTACATATGACGCCATTAAGGCAGAAATGATATTTTTGTGACGGGCATTAGCAAAGAATGCTTACCCCAAAGAATTTGTTGACAGGCACAAGGAATTAACAACACTGAAAGGTTTATGTGCCGCTAGACTAGAAAGGCAAAACGTTGGCTGAACTGGTGACTCTTATGATAAATAACGTCATTGAAATGATTTACAGTGCATCACAGCTGCGAATCTCGTTCAAATCCAACCCGGCATCCTTAGTACAAATCAAAGGTATGTTGTCTAAACGTGTGACCGCCTTTTGTTCATACTCTTTCGTGTGCTGCTGTGAAACAGCAGGTTACGTCAGTCGTACAATCAGACGTCTTTCCCACAGAATATATGGACATCACCCCATATGGCTGGTTAAGGACGAGGTGAAGTCCATTCCGAGCGCAAGTCTGGCGGATATCGTTCACGTACAGCACCAAGTCTCATGGGATGTGACTTTATAGCCAGTTTACCGCTTGCTCAGTCGTCACTCCGAAGGAGTCGAAGTTCGCATTCTGACCACCGCGGAAGCGGTCGGAATTCAGTTTCGCAATCCACAGTTGTGTAATCAGAAGTGGGTTGCCCAAATCCTGCTGTTACCATGGACTCCCATAACTTAATTGATAGCCCCGGAGGTCAATTTAATCACCGAATTGTTCGCCAATTCAGAATTGTTCGGCATGAGTATGTGACCAATAGCTCTTGATTTTGTCCGGTTGTCAATCATGGTGATACAAAATGTAACTCTGCTGCTGCTGAATAGTCGGAAGCAGACTGTACGCCAAACCACCTTTAAAACTACAAGACCGTGTCACCTTAAATACAGTAATAATTCTATCAAGTGTGTCAGAGATCTTTCTTTAAAAACCTTTGTGAAAGTTTGCGCTGGAAATTCTGTTTATCATTTCGTTCACAGGTGTTACACCGATAGAACGCCGTTTGATAATATCAGCGAACAATCATCGCCTGTTGTGATTAGAAAGTGCAAGAGTCCTGCAGTTGAATAATATTCCTGTATTGTTTATTTGACTTTGGATGAATTAGTAACTCCGTTAAACGCGTTCATATCCAAGTGTTCTGCTCATGTTGCAAATGAGAGTTTGCAACCCAATGAAAGCTATTTTTCAGTCACTTTCATCTGAGCGCAAAGGGCTTAGTCATGGATGCATTGTGTTCTGTTATTTTAGTCTCCAATAACAGTGATGTCACAGCGTGAACCGGTCATTATGTGCTATTCAATAGTTTTGTTCCGCTCCTCTATAACGTGAGTGTTGTGAAAACGGTGTTTCATAGAGCACGTGATCTGTATACTCCTGGTAGCTTACAGTAGGAACTGGCCTTGTTGCTAAAAACAAAGTGCTCGAAACCTCGTGTCACAAGGGAAGCACCGTTCGATGAACTTTAACTGAACGTCTTTGACGACACCTATTACAAGTGTTGGCATCGACAACGTATTCTTCAAAGAGCCACTTTACGTATTGCAAGGCACTTTTATTTGGTCGTACTTGTCGTCAGCTACACCATAGCTCGGCTCCAAACGCCCCAATCAAAACTGCATTGCCACTCCAAGGAACATTAAAATGTGTTTACCAATTCAGATACGGGTGCTTGGTCATCTCCATCGAAAGAATGGAGAGGCGATTGTGCCATCGAATGGCCGAACATAATTCACAGTAGGTTAAGCGTCGCTCTCACCATGTAACTGACACGAAACTGACAAACACCTTCTTCGAATTAGCATGATCTTTTTAATAGCCATGACAGCGTGACCTCTTTCAATGGGGTTTGAATCGTGCACGGGCCTAGTGGTGATCTGTTACCGCGTTTACCACGATTCTCATCGGGAAGATGTACTCTATGTTGTGTAGACGACGTTATTGGGGAACTCTGGTAGAACACGTGTGCACGCGTTTATAGTCAGAAGCATGGGTTATATAAACACAGTTTACCACAGTACACGGGTGTAAAAATGCATCGAAATGTTGTTGATTTTTCTCGTCAAGTTTATATTAGAGAAACAATCCTTCAGGATCGTGTTTGTTAACAAGTCCATCTGCTAAAGAATTAAGCAAAGCGAATCGTGTAACATCGGTTAATCCAGGATCGACGGTGTCACCATCTTTAAGAATGCGTGAATCTACATATAAAAGTGAACAAAAACTGTTTGATATGAAGTTGAAACACTTCGGTTCACATTACTTGAGTCAGATCCAATGTTGGGTGAATTCTTCTGTATTATACCAACTAACCAATCCGATTGTAAATGTGCGGTCAGAAACTTGTGCGTTTCAATTCCATCTCAATTGTGTCATCTCGTTTAATTTTTGACACCCCACATTGATTCAATCTAAATCCATCATCATTAGATATAGTCGTTGCATCGGACTCGATTTCTGGTTTGCCTTCCTGTTACAGTAACTACTTGCCACGTATTTTCACATATGCCTCTGCAGTCTAGCTGGTGGCTCCTCTACAGGAACAGTTCTCAGTGTGCACTTCCCTTCTATCTTGTTCGAGCGAAATGGCGATTGTAGGAGAAACGTTCCAATATTCTTCACTTGTGCACAATGACCTCATGGATTGGTCCGACTGATATGGTACTCATACATCACCCTTTGTTTGCCAACTGTTAGGGCACTGCGGTTGATCGTCGTGTAAGTCAACAACTAAATTATGAAGAAAAGTACTTCTAATGTTGCCCATCTTGATTTTTCTGAAATTGTTTCAGATTATTTGTATATCTTCAACCTGTCACAAAGAATGTCACTTGTGCTGCTGACATTGTGCATTAGTCTTAATTCATGTCTGAGGGTGTTTTCTCATACAGTTTTGCTTTGGGTTAACACGTACCTCTTGCGAAAACACCTTTACAGCTATAGATTGACTCTCATGGTGAATATTCACACTTACGGTGTTTACAATATCTCTTGACTATCCTTGATGGGACATTTTGATATAACGACCGCTTTTTACGTTAGCGTTGTCCGGTATAAATAACCGTATCACTTTGCTCTTTATGAGTAATGGGATAGACTTCGTAAGATAGATGAGAACCAGGTTCGGAAAGTCTGGATGCCAACCAGTGACAGAAACATGAACTAGGTCTCTTCTAAACTTTAATATCAGTTACATTACTTATAAGTAAGCAGAATTAATGCCTAACAATGGCGTTGGTAGATTCCAGTGTAAGCTGTTCGAGAAATCCTGTCTGGGTAGTCACTCCGCTGGACCATCTGGTAGATTACATATGAAACAGTGGATTAAGCGGGCAACCACGTCCAAATACAACACTTCCGGGCTCTCATCGTGGCTCCGTAGCTCAGCTGGTAGAGCGCTTGCAGCCTTTGGGCATGCTGTCTCTGGCACTGGTTAGAACCCAGCCGAAGTCTGAACTTCTCGCATTTATTTTCACAGTAAGCAAAGTGAATTCTCCCTAAGAAACAGTCATAGAACTTGTTCCGAACATTTAATAGTCAGCAAAATAAACAGGTTATCCAAACCACGTGGCATGAAGAAAAAAATAGTCTTACTGATCAATACCATGTTAATGCCAGTTGAACACGAATGACACAGTCCATAGCACAGTTTGCTCGCGACGAAAATTGTGGTGGTCACACAAACTATTCAGCAACATTCAGCTAAGCATTTACTTTTGTTTACGCATATATATATATGTATATATGTATATATGTATATGCATATCACAAATTTAGATCGTCTCGAGCGACAAGGAGGCGTCGCCATGAGGTTTAAGGAACGTCACAGCTTAGGCTCGAAAAACATGACTATTTAAGATAGGTTACATCAATAACCGCAAACTGGTCAACCATCAGAGATAAGTTTTAAGGGGCACTAATAGGCTAAAAAAAGATAAGATTAAAAAGCGCTCATAAAGCAAAAAATGATCGAACAGGTTAAACAGCTCACTTCTGAAAAATTTACTGAATAAGGTCAGTAAACGAAATACTGGCAACAGTAGACAACCGTCTACAATGCAGAACACTCTACTGTACCGGAAGCCGGATAACATGGAGTTCAAGGTCATTAAACCCAGATGTAGTAGTCCGTAACTGAAACGTTGTTAATCGCATTTGTCTCTCAGGATTGAGGGGCCTTTGACTGCCGATTTCTGTAACGGGAACACTAGTGGAAGTAACAACTAACTCGGTTCAGCCTGTTGAAAGTTGAGAATGTTTGACTCGTTTGCCCTTGATCTAAGATCAAGCAAGAAATTATGGGGCTGAAGGCCGGAATGAAGCTGTTTGTGGATAACGGCCTAATCGTGCATGCAAACAGTATACATGTTTGTAAAGGAAAGACCGCCTAACGTTAAGCAATATTTTTAATCATTCACACATAACACACCATCCATAATAAAATCACTGATACTAACACGTAAAACTTCATCAGCATCACAAATATTTTCCTCACTAAGCAGAATTAAATGCTTAAGACGAAAAACGGAGCAATGTTGAAGGCTGAAGTAGGTAGCTAATAATGTGTCACAAGAACTAGAATAAATGACATTTTGAATTAAAAGCATCTAATCAAACAGTGCACGTATGACCTACTCGACTGATGATTGGGCACGGGGATTGTTACTTGTACGAGCCGTACCCAAAGAAGCATCTCGTCTGATTGCGTCCGGCGCATCACGTGAACGGTGCATTGGTTGTTGGGATTGAGTACGTGGCTGAATACCGAGTTCACTAAATAAGTGTGAGTGACCTCGTTTCGTCAAACGCTCGATTTGATCGGAGTCCATCAAATCGGGTTTTTGAGTTGTGGAACTGTGTGTTAAGTGCGAAAGGTTGCGACGTTGAAGCATAGCGAAGAGTCTGCGATTCACGTTTAGAGAATTTTCAGCCCCCATCAAAGCATGAGCTACTTCTTGATCTTCAGCACTTGCGTGAGCAGGCAGTGGAGTCTCACCACACCTGTCATATTCGCTGTGACCGTTTTTTGACAAACTACGCAGTTCTAGTTGCTGTAAAAATGTCAAAGTTGACAGTGCACATAAAAAAATGCTGGGAATGACTCGTCGCAAGTATGCGTTATATGTAAAATGTTACTTTAAAAAACAGATTCTCTTGTTGAGTAATGGTAATGGATGACCAAGTTAGAGATGTGATGATTTAAACATTCGGCGAGATATTTCGACGTAGTGATGACGTATGGCCAAAATCCACAACGGATAAATTGCGGACATTAGCTACTACCGAACTAGTTATTGATTAGTAAAATCGGACCAACAGGCGAGAAACGGTGAGCCAAAATCCATGACAGTTTAAGTCAGACAAACACGAGGAACCAGACAAAAGTCCATATGACATTTAAATGGTAATCTCGCTACGTAATGGACTGGAATTCCGGTTTATAAACGTGGGCGTGTGTGAATTGGATAGTAAAGATTTTGCTGTATTGAACACCCTTACGCTACAGTAGCATGGTAACAAAAAACGCAGACGAGCCTCTAAGTGTGAATGTAATTGATACTGAAATTTAGACCTAGATTATCAAATCTAAGTAACGAGGGTTTTTCTATCATCGATTAATCTTAAGTCCAAGGTACACTAGAAACAATCATTGCATTTATTCTTCGTTGGTATGTTGGAGTTCTGTAAGGCATACGTTTTTGTTCGACTTCCTACATCATTATGGGCTTGGTTGACTAAGTAGAATTTTCACTTCCTCATTTGTCTTGTTTTTCTATACTGAGTATCTTTTACATTTCCTTCCTTCAAAGTTCACTGTCACCTGGTGTATCATTAATGTGTCCATTAGAATACACTCACTGTCGTATAGCGTTACATCAAACAAATGATGTAACCATAAAGCTCATCATTTTAACAATAAGACAGAGTGAGGTCCGGTAATTTTCTGGTTTGATATCAGCATCAACAAGAAGATAGAAATCGATTTCTGAGATACAGATTTTAAATGACATTTTAAAGCAGTAGGTCAACCCCTATTGACTTTATAGGCAGAATGAGTAGACTCACCGTATAAAATGTTGACAAGTGATTTTATTTAGCCAGCCAAACAGGCTCAAACAAGCACGACAGACACAACAGTCAGTCTGGCAAAATTAACCTGACAAGTACTAAGCAGACAGATGGCTAGATTCAAAGATGTATTATATACTGAGTATTGTTGTATAATGTCTGATCACTGCAGTTTAACTGTATGCGGGCAACAATGCATATGACACAATAACGCGATTAGTGAGCTTAAACGTTGACTTGTTGAATGGGTATCCTGAATGACTGACGAAGTCAGATTTTTCGACTATTTCTGTGTTTGTAAAATCGACTGCATCAGTGATGTGGTCAGCATTTTGCTATAGGTCCAACAATACGATCACGTAAGCTTTGTATCCTTATGTCCATGTAACTGTTCTACTATGTATTCCCACAAATTTCTTCAAGGTAACTGTACACTTTTCGATTAACCTTAGCTCCTATCCATCAATTTTGCCATTGTCAAGGTGGACAACTCAGGTACACTGTCTTTAACTAGTTATTACCACTAGTATACTGAGGCTATTTTTGGGGGTGGGGTGGGGGAAACAATGTCGGCAGCATATAACTCTTCCGCTGCTCAGACGTACACGACCGGTTAGCTCTCACGTCTTTTCCACCCTATCAGTCATTGCCATTACGGTGCAGGCCCATAGAGGCTAGTTAGGCACGAGAATACACCTTATCGGAGAATGTTACGGAAATAGCAGCCATGCTAAGTAGAGGTTCGAGCAGTTTCATGTCGGGCGTAGCGAACATTACACGTCACTGTAACCGTGTCATGTGTATACACTCCAATCCGGCTATCCGTTTGACATGTAAATTGCCTAGGTGGCTGGGCGGTGTAACGCAAACGACCGATTGAATGTCAAAGTGATCCCGTTGTTCAAGTTGGTATCTTGTTAAGGCTCCAGGCCGATGACAGTTGGTTTCGTTTAGTCTGACACCTGAAGGCAAGACAGCTGTGTTTCGTGGATCAACGGTTGCGTCAAGCCATCTGGACTGATCAGTACCAGGAAGCAAAAAGTAGGTGCAAGTCACTGGGTCAATTGGCCAGATACTTAATTGTAAGTTGTTACACTTTACAGTATTGCTTTTCTACTATTGCGACTGCATTCCTCTTTATTTGTATTTCAGAGTACCTATGTTAGTTTGTTTGATTCTCTCTACCTATTAAAACACACCGACAGACATTCCAATGTACTAAAATGTTTGAACGTGAACTTCATATTGCAAAACATTGTGACTTATTCAAACCGCTTTGAAAAGTGGTGTATGATCATAGTATAAGACGACATACCAACTTTAATACTGGTTGCTATTAAAAAAGAGGTCTACCTAATAGCGAAAAAGTTGACACACCTGAGTCTCATCTTTGTTTGATGTGAGGAATGCTTGAAAACATCAGTAATGAGGCAGATGCAGCCAGTCAATCTTGAGAATTCAGAACGTGAAGAATTTTAAAAGCTGACACTGGTGGACAACCAACTTACACGCGAACGTTTTCTTACCTCACGACCGTTACTAGTAGGCTGTCATATGACGAACGCAATTCCCGATAGTGTGGTTTAGTTGTATGTAATGTACTGAAGGAATTCAATGATTTTGTATATCATATACTGAGTTCGACCCTTTGACGTTGCCTTTACTTCTAGTAATTGCGTCAAGTAGACTTATATTTGATTTTGTTATGATTGAGTGGTGCTATCTTATGAAAACGTTTTCTCCGTGTGTGCCGATGACTTTTCTGACCTCACTCAAATTTGTTTATTTTTTTCGTCCTGACAATTCTGTTTCGTAAAAATTGTTATGTAATTAGCCTGATGATGAATAATCGAAAACGAGCTTGTTCGCCACACTATTGTTTTCAGATGTTACCTACTATAACGTTGCAAAATATCTGTGTCTGGATTCACTCAGGTGTGTCGCTAACATTCACAGTGAGAAGATAACAGGTCAGTCACCTTCTGCGTCGACTTATTGTGGATTAGTTCAACGAATGTAATCAACAGTTTTAACACATTAGATTTCACCAACCAAATGTGATACCGCAACACAGATTAGAAGCTATGGGACTTTCAAGTATTTCGCTTGAATTATCCGTGACTTATGACAACTTTAGAATGGAAACGTCAATTCTTCACTGCACTGGTGACAACTAAAACTATAGTCGGTTTCACTGAAAGTATCCAGACAACTCCATTGCAGCAGGAGTAGAAATATTTCACATTATCTACGAGAACCAGCACTGACGGTTTTGAACAGTTATAAAACTGAGGAAGTATTTGTGTTGGTAGATACACCAACATGATCCAAGCTGACAATAACGTTACTATAGCTCAGTGGTAAACAGTAACATTTACTCCTAC